ATTCAGCAGTGGACTTGTGAAAGGCTATAATGATGAACCTTACTCAACAAACTGAGAAGTAGGCTTCAAATTTTAAATGTAGATTGGTGCATTAATAAAAAGACTTATATTGTAGTAATGAATTGTCAGCTAAACATTAAACTCATTTAAAGGCAGCTAAAAAGTATGATCCCGAGCCACATTTTTTTGCATCTATAGACTAATTCAATTGAAGAAAATATGTTAATATTTTAAGTTTAACAGATATTTTAAAATAAAAATATAATACACGGTAGACATAAATAACTATGAGTAATAGACATATCGTCGCTCCGCCTGCTAAACTCAACAAACAAAAAAAAACTTTTCAGTACTAACAACAAAACACTTTCATTCTATTTTAACAAGTAATGAAAAATAAAAATTAAGTATATTATTAAAATAAATATATGAAAATAAATTTTTGTTTAATAAAAATTTTTGATTTTAGGTATCCATGCCGTCCATCCGATTGTGCTTAAACTTTATCAACTTATTACTTGCTCTTGCGCGAAAGTTGTGGGCATAATACAATTAACTTACAGTAGGTGGCGTGCGAATCGTACCAAAATTTTTTAAGAAAGTTGTATATAATTAAATTTCAATGAATTTATTATTATTCTTAATTAAACATTAAACCCTTCTAAATTTAAAATGACATTTCCACAATTATTTTTTCTGTGGTAGCAATGCGCCGGGTACCAGCTAGTTTTAATAATTTTTTAACCAGATGAAGTAATAAACCCATTTTTGTTTAGTTACTGTTATAGACTATTTTCGTAGATTGATAGTCAAAATCCACTGCTGAAAATAGGTATCCCTGCTTTTTATTTTTTAGTTAATATTAGAAAGACGCTGCTGCCCATCTCTTGGTTTTTATCCTTCGATGGCCTCTTACGACATTCAAGATGATATGGGATAGTGGATATTATTACACCGCTAAACGGTTAGTAAATACTTAAATAATGCACTTTACTGCTTTTCAGAAAAACGCTTTTGCCTTTTTTTAAGATTTTAAAGTATTAGAGAGAGAGAGAGAGAGAGAGAGAGAGAGAGAGAGAGAGAGAGCGAGAGAGAGAGATAGAGAGAGAAAACTTAATTTAATAAGAAAATTTTGCACAACATGTAAGAGGAAAACGAACGGACGAACGCAATAAGAAGTTTTATTACATAATTTATAAAAATTTTTGATTTGGTATTTGCCATATTGTTCGTTTACTTTAAGCTGTTTCATTACAGATTTAATATTCATAATAGTTTTCATTACAATATGGAGGAATATTACTGTATTAAAAAGACCAATTAATTTGTTTTGTTTATTATTCTAAAATACATGCCATGTAATGTCGTGTATTTTAGAATAATAAATAAAATGTGTGCCATGGACTTTAAAAACTAACGTAGCACATGTAGGCACTAAAATACATAGCGTTTAATAACAGTATTTCTTCATTAAGTTATTCCTGTTGTACCTACCAACATGTGAAGTTAGATTTAGTAGCTAATTTAGATTTAGTAGTAATGCTCTCGTAGGAGCTGAGCGTATGTCGCTAATGAAATTTGGCTGACGCTGTGTCGCAGTTTCTACCATTAATCATGACTACCTATTCCTTGCACCTTTACTTGCGGTGAGTTCTAGCGAAAATGTTATCGCTATGACGTACAATATCTTATTATTTTAGTTGTACGTCTTATTTACTGAGGTAATTGTTTGTCGCAGTAATATTTTTATACGTTAATTATACAAAATTAAATGAATATCACAGATTACTTTTTTTCTTAACTAGTCCATTACAGCCAACTGTTAGATATGGACCTTTTTCAAAAAAGATGGTGTAAAGATGATACGTGATCAGATAATAAAAACTGATATTTCCAAAAGATAATTTCCAAGGTTCTTTCTAAAGGTATAGTTATAGACCGTTTGATATATTTATGGCGCGTCGTCTAAGTTAGGACCATTAATTACGTTGAAGAATGAATATTCACTACAACATTATATAGTCAGTGGTGCCTTATAATTATTTTAAACTAGAGAACCCCGTCCACGAAAAAAAAGGCTCAAAAAGGTTAAGAACACTTAACCGTCCCTATTCCACTTGTATCAGGTTCACATCAATTCCTTGTTAATTAGTTCGTTCCCGCTTGTAAAAGGCTCACAATATTTATGTTAAAGTACCCGATACAAGGGTTTCGCTTTCCCACGTTTTGAAAAATGTGGGAGAGGCACACGGCTCCACACAGGTCAGCATAATGTGCAAAGCATCAATACGACTGTCGTCGGTCTTACGCCATGCTAACATACCATACGGTCACAGCAGACATCACCACACGCATACCTCCATCATCCAGAACCACAAGATGCATCGAATCAGGCGCAGATCCATCACAAGACGCAATACCGCAAGTAGCAGTAAGAATCACTGCAACTATCATACAAATGGCGTCCCTTCACACCACACCAACATGATCCCTATCGAACTTGTCAACAAAGTTGTTAATGTTGTTTACAAAAAATAGCACGCTACTAAGACGCCAGTAAACAAAAATCCATGTGTCATGGGTCTGTTGCACTAAAATATGGGAGTAAATTAAGATTAATGCACTTAAAAGTGCTACAAAACACTCTCCCTAATCCATCCATAATCCCAAGACAGTCTACGCGACACTATAATAATTATTTTCTTTCAAATCACATTTCTATCAATATAATGCTTTTATATTGCATGCCGAGCGCAAAGCGCATAGGTATGTTCTACTAGCGCCTAAAAATCAAGATTCCAACGTTTTGTCGCATGAAATCGTATCCAGCAATCATATTATACATATAAATGATATAAAAAGCACATTGTCAGAAAGATAAATGATTGTTGAACTTATTAATATACGAGTATTTTTTTAAATCGATTAATTGCTATTTTTACATAAAAATGGGTTTTAGTGGCTTATGGTGTGGATTTATTATCCTCAATACTTGTAAACACGATAACTTTTGAAAATATCAATTGTTTAACTCAATGTATTTTTTAATCTCTTCATTTATCATGTGGGAAGCCACTGAATGTAAATGGCAGTGTAATTTTGTTTTGTTTAGCTATAATAAATTTTAGGGCTCCAAAATGGCGAAATTTTCGGTGATTTCGCAGCCTTGTGTTAGAATTTATTTCAGTAAACAGAGACTGCCTGTGGCTCGCTCACTCGCTTCGTTGTTTGCAGCGGCTCAAAAAGATCGCTGTACAAATAAGTACAAAATATTCGAAAAACAAATTTCATACATACTTGATTATTATAATAATCAGAGATTTTTGTTACAATATTTTAAAAGCACAAAATAAATAATAGTAGTACGTACTAAAAGAAAGTAGGATGTAATATTTATACTTGAATACGTCTTGGACTTTTTGGACTTTTGACATGAATGATGATATGATGATCATATGAGCATTATGAGTCGTGCACTTCGGAATTTCCAAACTTTTTCAAATTGAAGTTTGACATAAAATTATCGGAAAATTGGAAGTATAATTAGGTTATTAGTGAAAATTTGGGTGTATTTAAACTACTTTAAAAAATTCCGTATAATCATGCTATACGTAATTTTTTTTAATGCGAAGGCATGCTCAATTTGTTTTTACCAATAGTTTTTAATACCTATTTCGAGAAGCTTACTTTCATTTGTCTATTACATTAGGGACTTCAAGCCCCAACTCCGCTAATATAATATTTATGCACCTTAGAGACCTTCTACATTATTGTTTTTGTTTCATAGACTTTATCATAGTATTTTGTCCTTTATACTATTACATTACATTGACTTTTACATTGTACAACAGTACTTCGGTAGTCAGCCGCGATCGACCTCCTCACCTGACGTACTATGACTATTCTACGACAAATATCGAATAAAATGTATGGGATAAATAATTTTAAAATTTAGACCGTTAGGTTTTGAGATAATAACATAATAAAATTGAACACGCTTAGCTTAAACATATTTCGATCCATTTCCCAATAATAATATAAGATTTTTAAAGGTTATTTATCTTTGTTATTGTAATGTAATCTTCTTATATTTATATTATTTAATGCCTTCTGAATATTTAAAGCCGAGTTGTAGTAATTTTAATGAATTTGTAAGGCCGATTTTAAGCATTTATTATATTAAATTACTTAATTTGCATTTAAATTTTACGATACTTTTAGGCAATTTATTATAGAAATTATTTATTACTTATTGTTAATAATTATGCGCCGTCGCAATAGCGACAAAGATTGGCTGTAATAAGTACCACTGGCAGTCGGATTGACATCGTATCAAATGTCTCACACCTTATAGCTGCCTTATACGTTAAACCACGTAGTCGGTCAAGATATTTTAAATTTGTATAACATACTCGTATAAGAATGCTAATTATGAGGTCCCGCATGCGAATCTCGGGAAGAACCAAAAGTCAGTTATTGGGTTTTTCTGTGAAGAAAAACTAAGTAGCAACCCGGAGTTAAAAAGTTGGCGGTGTTTCACCCTCGTGTCTTAGTGCAGGTAAAGCTGTTGGTCTTGCACCTGATCTCTGTCTTGATTAAAGGCCTGCGCAGGTGGCTATATATAGGACAAGATATGCGTAAACACTGGTGCACTATCTATTCCCTCACTCTGATAGTCCGATGGGACACTAATCCAACACGACCTGAGGGAGATCAGATGCAGGACCAACGGATTTACGTGCGTTCCGAGGCACGCAAGTGAAACACCGGCAATTTCTTAACAGCAAAATGCAACCACTAATCCGACCTGTGATTCAAACCCGGATTCTCATGAACAGCAATCGTGTTGACAAATACTACACTGACGAGGCAGTCAAATAACTACACTAACTTGTGATGAGCCACTGCTTGAGATGGTAAATCGCACTGTTTTACATATTGTCTGCGTGTCTTTCTTTTCCATATTACTTGTTAATTTTATTCGTTCTATTTTTTACCAGGCACGCTGTTCTCCATCAGTATCTTCAGCGACTTCATGAAGCTGGACGACACTGTAGTTGGAATAATTTCCTGCACTAGCAAGATTCTCGCTTCTTTTATATTTGCCTTTGCAACCACAACCACCGAGATATATATCGGTATGTTTTAATTCTGCTTTTACTAAAGAAAGATGTTCGATGCACGTTTACACTGCGTTATTACTATGTGGTTTTCAGAAAGTTACGTGGTAGAGCCATGCTGCAGCTATATTAGTAGTATAGTTGTAGCACGAATGGGTTGGCTCGACCGGGGAAGGACCAGGCTCTTACAGAATACCAGCGTAAAATAGCAGCTTAACACTGCTGTGTTTCGTGTGGTGAGTGTAGAGAATCGGAGACCCTTTTTACTGGAAAAGAGTCATTCCATCTTAGTCCTCACGGGTGACAACGCATCTGCATTTTGATTCGCAAACGAGGATAGATGTAGATGTCTATGGGCCGCAGCGATCACTTATCATCAGGTGGACTGTGTGCTCGTTTGTCACCCTTATCCTATAAAAAAAAAGTTACTGTTACCCATATTACGTTTCAGTTTCTCTCTGATACCTCTCACGACACCAGCGGTATGATATGTGTTATTAAATTCTCTTAAACTTACACGACTGACTTCTTAATATAAATTACGGGAAATCATTGAAGTTTTGTCTTATTAAAAATGTAGCAGCGTTTTCGGTTTGAGAGTTCAGAATGACTAACCATCGATTTCCAAGACGTTTAAAAATGTGTATTTAATTAACTATTTCATTTATTATAGGCTTTCTATGTATAAATAGGCCTCCCGATATTATCTTATAAGGGGATATTTGACATAATTGCCACGCTTGTCTGCCAAGGGGCTTGGGAAACGCAGTTTTTTCTTTCCTATTTGTTATTAGAAAGACGCCGCTGCCCATCTCGTGGTTTATTTCTGTCATCGTCCTCAAGTACCCCATTAAAGCCGATGGAAGGAAAAGGGGAGATCTCCCGCCGGGCAAGGTGTTCTGCCCGGGGAGCGGCCAACGCTCCGAGTGGTAGTTTTTTTTTTGCGCCCAGAAGCAATTGGAAAGGGCTACCTCGATACGGCGAGGAAGTGGAGAATTCTTTACGCATACCACGACAGCCGGCCTGTCGTGGTTATGTTGGACTCACTGTGACTACCTACTGGGGAACCTAAGTGATACCCACTAAACTCCACTTTGGAAACTGACAATTGGCCGATTAAGCCGCTTTGTCGGATCGGAAGCGACCCTCTTTTGGGAGAAGAGGGTGCAGACAATAAATTAAAATATTTTTATTCGGAGGTTTGAACCATGAATTTGAAGAAGTCGCCCAATGTGTTTGGTCACTACCCCGATAGGCTATGCCTGCCGATTAGTAGTGTAGTTCGAGTGGTAGTTCTGAGCTATTCTATATATACTGTTTTAACTTCGAAACTTTGATAGCGCGATTTAGTATTCGATGTGTTTTCGCTTGTGGTGCGACGACAGCGCCGCCACATCGCCTCTTACAACACCTAAGGAACGATAAGGAATAGTGGATATTCGTACACAATTGAATAAAAACTAAGAGTTAGTTTTAGTAAGATTTCAAAAAACTAATGGAGATACTGTGAATTGTTATTCATAATTATCTTTTTTTTCAGCGCCCTTAGTTGAAATATTCAACGGCACTTCTTTTATTGCCATGCGTTCCATTGCGTCCAAGTTAGTGACCAGCGAAGAATTGGGTGAGTTAGTTTAAATTTTTAACACTACAGTACATCTTCCTCATCATCATTACAACCCTTATCAAGTCTACTGCTGAACTAAAGCTTCTCCCAAGGAATGCCACAAAACACGGTCTTGATCCACATGCCTCCGATCTCCTTCATATTCTTCATGTCTTATCAGCTGCTCTTAATCTGTTTAATAGTACGAGGCTACCACTCGAGCAGCCTTGTACTGTATATGACTATTTTCCACTGTCGTTTTTATCTGATTGTTGGTCCTTCTATATCTTTTTTTTATCTTTTTCTCTCTTTAAAAACGTTACCCCCACACTAGGATTTTTTCCTGTGTCGTGGAGGCAGTTTACAAACATAAATTGCACAAGGACAAACATCCAGACCTGGAACAATTATTTGTAGGCCATACAAATACTTGTTCCGTGCGGGATTTGAACCCGCGGCCCCCAGCGCAACAACTGATTGCTAAGCCACTGCGCCACGGAGCCGTCATATGTAGTCGGTATTCTGTTTACTGATCCATTCCAGATATTTTAATTATGATTTGCAAATGCTTCACTACTATTACACTAGATGGTAAGTGTAGATGAAACTAAAACCCACTGAATGAGCTTAACATAAGCCATTCACTCTTGCAATGAATACGGCCACATTGTAATCAGCTTATAAGACTGATGCTTGCAATGTTTTCTATTCTTTTGCTGTTTGCATGACAAATGACGAAGAAAACCAATTTATTCAAATACGTGGCGTCGGGTTATCCGATGGTGGAAGTAAGTGTGTGTGAGAGAGAGAAAGACAGAGAGAGAGAGAGAGAGAGAGAGAGAGAGGAACTAAGTAGTTCAATTCTTATGCATTCTTTCTAAAAGTATCTTGTAGAACAACGGAAGGCTGGCTACTTTTTGCCAGGGAAAGACAATATAAAACAACTGTAAGTGCTAGCACGCAGGTTCATATTGAAATCCACAATCTGTATTTTTCAAAAACAGGTTTCACAATGCGATAGTCAAGTGCTTTATGACAATTTGCTTGTTAATTGCTTTTTAAACACGGTCGATAAAACTGATCAAAAACATTATATTAGTGGAATATTTTATATTGGTGTGCAGGTGCGAAATAGTTCTATTGCCTACTATTTAAAATAAAGGGTTATACAGCCACCACATGATAAAAAATATAGTTTATTTATATGTTATATAAAGGGACATAATATTTATTTATTCATTCATTTTGGGAAGGTTTACAGACTAATATTTGCGAAGATAATTTAAGATTTTAAGTTACGAAATGGTGATAAGAATTGCTGATTACAAACCTCCACATATTAATTTCATTCGACTTTATGCAAATTAAAAAAAAAAACGCAAAAAAAAGTTACAAAAAGAAATCGCATAGTTTAACCTGCCGTGAGACAATGGAGTTATCAATTAGTCGCGGCTGTGAGTAAAAGATTCTCTGTTAATCATATGATAAAGCAAGAAACAGTCGTTAAATAAATAATTTTGTAAGTGTATTATGTATAACCAATTAAATTATTGTCAACAAAGCTTAAAAATAAAGGTGTAATACCTAGGATGGAATGTGGTTTGATGGAATGTGTTTTTCTATTTATTTTTATTTACTGATACAATAACAGTTACAACAGAATACAATCTATAGTATTAGATGACGCATTAACTTTGTCATTACTACCGTAATCTTGAATGTGTGTAATCTACAAGACATAAGAATGTAGGAAGCTATTTATATAACTTGCAGTTTAAGTTGGCTAATAAAAATTTGTTGACGTTAAAAGAAATATATGTCATATATTATAATTAAAATACATTCCTACAATTAATCCTATACTCCTTTTGTACATGAGCAAATGCCTACGCATACCCGCGTCGCGGGGGCTAGGTCGGGTTATGTCGGACTCGCACTGACTAAAACCCCATAGTGTTCCACATTTGCCGCATATTGGCAGGCCCTCCTCGGGGGAGAACTTCCCCATTCTTCTTCACAGGCAAGGCGCGTCAGGAACACATGGCACGCCTTCTCCACTGCCTCCAACTCCACCTACGTAACGCCCTTCCCCCCAGTTCGATACGCGGAGGCCAGGAAAATCGAGCGCTCAGTAGCACCCACTTTTCCGACCCCAGTGGTGGATCTGGTCTTTGGCTCCACCGCCAACCAAGTTTCGGCCACGGAGAATAGGGCGAGTGGCACTTCGCCATACCAGCACTCCTTTTTCTCTGCGACTCGACTGCAGCGGTAGGGGGAGAGGGCACCCCTCTCGCCGCAACCCATCGACACACAACCGAAGTGGACTCGCCAAGCCCACCCGAAGTGGCCACCTCGGGCCGGCCCTACACAACGGGCATGCCAAGGGGTTCCTCTTTTTCACCGCAAGTGTCCAAGTCACGGCTACTAAGCCACAACAAGGCAGGAACCCTTTTGGGGGCGTAGTCCTATACCCCTAGTGCACAGTTAACTTAGAAGAGCCTCTGTTTATAAATGGCATTTTTAAATGCTATCAGACGATTCGTCCGGTTTAAGGCGACTTTTGAAATTGTAATATTCATAGATAGATAAAGCATATATTTGTTTCTCCAATAACACACGTAGATTCAGTTACTAAATTAGGTACGAAGAAAGGAATCAAAAAAGTTACATAATCTTTAGATCTAAATGTACATGTGTGTTGCAGTTTCACAAATGTGTCCTAGCTCAGCGATTAATATTGCTCTGAGAGCAAATACTGATTTTAAGCTATTACTCTCGAGATGACGGTACGAAAATGAGCACAATAGGATAATCATATCATAGCATGAAAATGTTCACGAAGCAGATCTAATTCTTAATTAAACACGATATTGTAATTAAGAACAATTGCATTGTTAGTTATAAATCATTATGTTTTAAAAAAAATATAACTGGTCAGGGTCTTAAAAATATTCTTTTTTTTTTCGCTTATAATAAAAATATTCTATTTTAAGTTAATGCTGTGTATATGGTGGGATTGGAAGGGCATGGGTTATTATGAGCTATTACCGCCAGGCTAAACCATCGATTCGGATCTCTACTGCCAACGACTAATGAGACTTAAGAAAGAAATTGAGAAAAAACGATCGAAATTGATCCACACAAAAGGAGTGGTCTTTCATCATGATAACGTCAGACCACACAAATCTTTAACCACTCAGCAAAAATTGAGAGAGCCTAGTTGGGAATTATTAATGCATATAATATAGTCATGACCTTGCAATCTCAGATTTTCACCTGCTTCGGTCTCTTCAGAATTATTTGTGTAGTGTGTTAACATCAAGAGCTCTTGGTAGAGAGTAATTGTGTTCTGTGATCAAGAGAGAACTGTCAAAACGACTTGTCGCATTTTTTTATCAAATATCCCAAGATTTCTACAACAACCGGATTATGTTACTACCTACAAGATGGAAACACGTTACCGAACAAAATGGAACATACAAGTATAATTTATTATAATTAATGTAATTAAACTTTGAAAATGTTTTTTTGAATTTGTATACAAAATACGAAGAAACTTTTTCCCCGACCTATTAAAATACGTTAAATGGTGATGTATTTATAGCTTTGATATTTAAAAAGTCTAACGTTAACATTGAAATATATTTAAAAAAAAATTCAACTACTCACGTTCCCTATAATAATGTTTACTTTATTCATTTTAATATTTTTTTATGTTAAATTTTTTTTTTTATAACGTAAGGGTGACAGACGAGCACACAGTCCACCTGATGGTAAGTGGTTGCTGTGGCCCATAGACATCTACATCTATCCTCGATTACAAATCAAAATGCAGATGCGTCGTCACCCGTGAGGACTAAGATGGAATGCCTCGTTTCCAGTAAAACGGGTCTCCGGTTCTCTACACTCACCATACGAAACACAGCAGCGTTAAGCTGCTATTTTACGCTGGTACTCTGTGAGGGCGTGGTCCTTCCCTGGTCGAGCCGGCCCATTCGTGCTACAACTATACTACTAATATAGCTACAGCATGGCTTTACCACGTAAAAAAAACATTCACTCAGACACTTCCGTATCACGATTTTCATTGTTTGTTATGTGGTACTATATCGATAATATTTTTGTGCTAAAAAGTTATACATTTACCAATAAAAGCCTTTATGTTGTATCTACACATTTTGTTTATAATATAAGGCAGCAAATGATTCATAATAAAATATATTATATGTTTTTTTGATCATTGGGCATGCCCGATCTATAAGCGTTTAAAAGTTAAAACACACCCAAGAACGTATGCTACAATAAGTAGATACAACACGTACTAATCAACGTAATTAATTTGTCAAGTACAGAGAAAACAAATTAAGTAAACCCACATTTATCAATTGGAACCACTGTTAGTTACGTAAACAGTGATGTATAAATGTCTTTATATATTTGATTTCTCATCAAAGCAAATTACTATATTCTTTTATCTTCAATATCATATAATCTGACTATTTCGATTATATTCTCGAGTAAACAAAAGGCGGGAGTAAATAATAAACACATATATTATTACAGATAAGTTAAGCTGTAGCGAATGTACACGAATGTGCATGAATGGCTTCAGCACGAATGGGTCGGCTCGGCTGTCTGAAAACCAGTATTATAGTTTACAGCAGTGCTGTATTTCATGTGGTGAATGACAAGCATTTCTACTGATAACGAGGTATCCCCATCTCAAGGGTGGCAATGGACATATGGAATACGACTTCAACTTACCATCATGTGGACTGTGTGTTTGTTTGTACCCTTACTTTTAAAAACTCGCCCCTTTCATGTTAAGATAAAATAAATTAATATATATGACATTAATACATATATATATATATATATATATATATATATATAAAATTAAACTCTAAAGTACATACTCACTTCATACTGCTTGCAATAGACTTTTACTTTGAAAAGAACCAATTGCCTCTTAGAAAGTTGTAAGCTCTTTTCCTGAAGGTCCCTAAGTCGTATCGGTC